CAAAATCTCGAAGTAAACCTCGGATCCTTATCCGACACAATACTAGATGAAATACCATGCAAACTGACAATCCTCTCGATGTATAGCTTTGCCAATTTCTCCAACGGATAATCCATTCGCATAGGAATAAAGTGAGCAGATTTAGTCAATCTATCCACAATAACCCAAATAGCTTCAAAATCACCCGGCGTCCTAGGTAATCCGGACACAAAGTCCATAGAGATGCTATCCCATTTCCACTCAGGAATAAACAACAGTTGCATCAAACCCGAGGGTTTCTGATGCTCAATCTTCAACTTCTGGCAAGTCAAACAAGAATACACAAATTCGGCAATATCCTTCTTCATACGAGGCCACCAAAGTATTTTCCTCAAATCTTGATACATCTTAGTAGCACCCGGATGAATACTCAATCCGCTACGATGTCCTTCCTCAAGAATACTCTTTTTCAGTTCATCAAGATTCGGGACACAAACTCTATCCCGACACCTCATAATACCATTCTTGTCAATCCGAAAATCACCACCTTGGCCTTGGTTGATCAAAGTCAATCGGTCAACTAAACCCAAATCGGATTTCTGTCCTTCTCTAATTTCGTCCAGAATACCACTCGTAAGCTTCAACATTCCAAGCTTAACCCCATAAGAAGTCCTCTCACATACCAAACTCAAATCACGAAATTGTTCAATCAACTCCAACTCTTTCACCATCATCATCGACATGCGTAACAATTTCCGACTCAACGCATCCGCTACCACATTCGCTTTACCCGGATGGTAATTCAACCCAAAATCATAATTCTTCAAAAGCTCTAACCACCTTCTTTGCCTAGCATTCAATTACTTTTTATCAAAAAGGTATTTCAAACTCTTGTGATCACTAAACACTTCAAACCTCACACCAAACAAATAATGCCTCCAAAATTTAAGCACAAACACAACAGCAACCAACTCTAAGTCATGCGTTGGATAATTCTTCTCATGCACTTTGAGTTGCCTCAAAGCATAGGCTACAACTAGATTATTCTGCATCAACACACCTCCCAAGCCCATCAAAGAAGCATCACAATACACAACAAACGGCTCTTCCAGATTTGGCAAAATCAGAACAGGGGCTGTCGTCAATCTTCTCTTAAGTTCCTGAAAACTCTCTTCACACTTGGCACCCCAAACAAAAGCTTGACCCTTCCTAGTCAATTGCGTCAATGGTAACGATAACTTAGCAAATCCTTCAATAAACTTACGATAATAACCCGCTAAACCAAGAAAACATCTAATCTCAAAAACTTATTTCAGAGTCTCCCATTGCGATACCGCTTCAACCTTCGATGGATCAACCGCAATACCTTCACTTGAAATCACATGACCAAGGAAACTCACTTCTTTCAACCAAAATTCACACTTAGAAAGTTTCGCATACAACTGCTTCTCTTTCAACACAGATAACACAATCTTCAAATGTTCGGCATGCTCCTCTTCGTTCTTCGAGTATACCAAAATGTCATCAATAAACACCACAACAAACTTGTCCAAATAAGGATGGAAAATCCTATTCATGTAGTCCATAAATACACCTGGTGCATTAGTCACACCAAATGGCATTACAAAATACTCATAGTGTCCATACCTCGTTCTAAAAGCAGTCTTTTGAATATCCTCAGCTTTCACACGAATCTGATGATACCCAGACCTCAAATCTATTTTACTGAACACACTTGCACCGACCAACTGATCCATCAGATCATCAATCCTTGGTAGTGGATACTTGTTCTTGATAGTCACCTTGTTCAACTGTCTGTAATTCACACAGAGTCTCATAGAACCTTCTTTCTTCTTAACTAACAACACCGGTGCACCCTATGGCGATACACTCAGACGAATAAACCTCTTCTCAAGCAAATCTTCGAGTTGACTCTTCAACCCTTTCAATTCCGATGCGGACATACGATATGGAGCCATCGATATCGGACTGGTTCCAGGAATCAGGTCAATCGAAAACTCCATTTCTCGTTCTGGCGGTAAATCCCTTATCTCATCAGGAAAAACTTCCGGAAAATCACGGACGACTGGTAAGGCATCAATTGCCTCACTTTCACCAATACTCAAAGTTGCCATCAACATAAATACCTTTGCACCATCTTGCGCTGATTCTTTCACTTGCTTAGCAGTCATAAAAAAATTCCCTTCATCACCCGGTTCAGGAAAAATAACCGTTTTATCAAAACAATTAATGTGAACACGATTGAATTTTAACCAATTCATTCCCAGAATGACATCAAGTTGATCTAAGTGAAGACACACTAAATCAACCCCAAAGTCTCTACCGAAAATACTCAAAGGGCAATTCAAACACACATACGGTGTAGTTACCGAACCCATAGCAGGAGTATCAATAACCATGCCACCACCAATAACAGACATTTCAAGATTCAACCTTCTAACACGCTCCAGAGAAATAAAAGAATGCGTAGCTCCAGTATCAATTATAGCGATCAAAGGTATGCCATTAATAAAACACGTACCTCTAATCAAGCGATTGTCACTAGCCGTCTCAGATCCAGATAGAGCGAACACTTTTCCGCTCCCTTGATTCCTCTTCAGCTTATCACAATTGGTACTAATGTGCCCTTGCTCACCACAATTGTAGCAAGTCACACTCGCACCGCTTCTGCACTCGAGAGCCTTGTGGTCTGGCTTGCCACACTTGAAACACGTTTTCTCAACACTTTTGCATTCCAGAGCACGGTGTCCCTCTTCACCGCACCTATAACACCTCACCGGGGTAGAAACTCCCCCACTTGGCTTCTTACCGAAACCAACCCTTTGTTTCCCCTTATTAGCGGGAGTCACGTAAGGTTTTCCTCTGAATTGGACCTTTCCTTTCTTATCACTTAGGCTCTCGTAGTGGCTAGATTGAGCCCTACTGTCCTCATCATAAATCCTACTTTTGTTTACCAACTCAGAAAATCGCCAGATTTCCTGATAACCAATAGCTTGCTTGATCTCGGGCCTCAAACCATTCACAAATTTGAGACACTTAGATCTCTCAGCATTAACAGTGTTGTAGTAAGGACAAAACTTGATCAACTCCTCAAATTTCGCCGCATACTCAGCTACCGTCGAATTACCTTACTTCAACTCAAGGAATTCAATCTCTTTCTTTCCCCGCACATCTTCTGGAAAATACTTCTCCAGAAATGTCTCTCTAAAAAGATCCCAGGTAATCACAATCTCATCCTCTTCAAATCTTTGGCGAGTATTACCCCACCAGTCTTCGGTTTCTTCTTCGAGCATATGAGTTTCGAACTGCACCTTCTGTGCATCCGAACAATTCATAACCCGAAAAATCTTCTCAATAGCTTTCAACCAAATTTGTGCTTTGTCAGGCTCATGGGTTCCCTTGAACGTCGGTGGAGTATTCCTTTGGAACCTTCCCAAAGCACGAAATTCATCATCAGCATTATTCCTCACATTCACGTTGGCCTGAGGATTCTGTCCAATTGCCCCAGCCAATCTCGTCAAAGCCTCCGCAATTGCTTCGTCATTCCTACCTGCAACCATCTTACTGAATTCCAACAACAGAACCACGTAAGAACACCAATATCGATAGTGTAACACACACACACACGTATCAATATACACGGAGAACAACACACTAACAACTTGGCCGGACGGATCAACCTGCTCTGATACCACTTAATGTAACACCCCCTTCTATACCCCCAAATAAACAATAATATAGATATAGGCACATATAAATTTTATCAGAGTATAATTTAAAATACAGTATAAAAGAAGTATGTCACATTATTACCAAAAAAACACTCAACACATGCTCTATAAAAATATGCAACAGTGGGATAGTTTTCAAAGTAGAGGAACTTAGTCCTTAAACCCACATCTCGATATTTAGAATTAAAGCAAAAGATAAAACATTTGAATTACCTCAAAACATTTAATCACATAAATATATGTTATCCAGTTGGTTCATCAATATCATTCATGTTACAAACATCATCAACTGATACATCACAAGTGTATCACAAAAGAATACTATACAAGCCTAACTACCTGGTGTTACATAATCAGAGCAGTCCGACTCAAAAGAATGAAGCTATACTTCACAAGAGAAACCTCCAGCAACCTAATCTGCAATGCCTCATAGAGCATTATAAAACAGCAGAAGGGTGAGAAATATTACCATAATAATCAATGCATAAGATTATATATATATATATATACATACAAGTAACAATTACATATAATCCACTTTTCTCACCACAATTCATTTTCGTAGTCATATTCATCTCATCATACATATGAACAAATATGGATATTCATCAAGCATATCTCATCATGCACAAATCATAATTATCCAATACACATTCACTCACAAGCATATTTCATATAACAACGACATTTATGCTATGTGACTCCAAAACAACTCAATGCAACTCAATGCAACTCAATGCACTGTGGTACCAACACTTGTTATCATTTTTCGGTTTTTACATTTAAACCGGGTCCACTCTTCTAGACCGATAACAACAAAGCTCGTCCCCTAGGCTTCAAACCCACCCTTCTAGGTTTGGGACAAGCCACTAGTCTCCATGAAACTAGCAAACATTGCCTCTTGACTAAATGATGCATATGCAATCAACCAACAAAAATGCACTTAAGACCGTTCCCGCGTCTTAATCCCATGCATTCAATAATTCATCCCTTCAAGAATTACAACATGATTGCACATACAACATATATCACAACAATCAAGGTATTCACATCATAATACCAATTTTACAGTTACAAGCTATGCACACATATCCACAATGTTCTCATGCATACTTATCACATAATTGTACACAACACCATCAATGTATTCATAATTCAATACTATCACTACATTAGCACACAATGCACACATATCCACGATATGTTCAAGCTAAGGAACTGACTCCAAATAGTCCTAACAAATGATGATTGAGGCGGGATTCGGCATTTTTAAACCACGAAACGCTCGGTTTCCATTTCGGTTGTAGGTGTAACCAGCCCGCTAATAAGGATATGAAAGAAAGAAATAATAGAAAAATAGCTCCAGTATAAAGATCCTCATTAGTACGTAAACCAATTGTATACCACCACTGATAAACACCGGAATAGGCAATATTCACTGGGCCAAGCGCACCTCCTCGCGTAAAAGCTTCTACAGTCGGTTGACCAAAATGGGGATCCCAAATTGCATGAGCAATAGGTCTTACATGTAAAGGATCCTGTGCCCATGCCTCAAAATTTCCTTGCCAAGCTACATGGAAGAGATTCCCGGAAGTCCACAGAAAAATGATTGCTAATTGTCCGAAATGAGAAGCAAAAATATTCTGATAAAGACGTTCCTCAGTAATATCATCATGACTCTCGAAGTCATGTGCGGTAGCAATACCAAACCAAATACGACGAGTAGTGGGGTCCTGAACTAAGCCTTGGCTAAACCTTGGAAATCTTAATGCCATAATGCTTTTCAAATCCTCCTAGCCATTATCCTACTGCAATAATTCTTGCTAAGAAGAATGCCCACGCGGGTATCATATATACCCCCAAAATAAAAAGCCTCTTCCAATATATAAAATAAAAATTCCAATGGCTTTTGCTACTATAACCTTCCCAACCACGATTTTTTTTCATTTTTTCTAAGTATAAGTATTGAAACTCTAAATAATAACTTCTATTGATACTAGGTATGCCAAAAACCATAGTAAATAAAATAAACAAAGAAATGGTGGGTTCCATCGTTTCTATGATTACTTGTTAAACGGTGAGGTCCTCTCTATACACCGGAGCCCCTTCCTTCATTGAATCTTGATTCAATCAATGTTATTGTGAATTTGTACAGTTCACACTTCTGGGCTCTACCCATGAAATATCTAGTAATAGGTCTTTCACAATGAAATCTAGCTATACAGTAACGGTATTTAAGTATGAAGATTAGCTGGGTAGTTGACCCTCTTAGTCCGCTCTAAATTTAGGGCATAATTTGTTTTTCTTTCAAATAGGATTTTTCCCGCTTAATGGGAAACTACTTTATCCCCAAGGGGAATATACTTTGCATCTTAAATTGAAAATGAAGGTGATTTGGTTTGCACCAATTGAGAAACCATAAATTTGATACAAAATTTATACACAATAGAATTATATATATACAATTCTTATTAATAGAATCGATTTTTTAATTTGAGTATATGATCTAAACGAGTCGCACATACACCCTATTACATGTTCCTCGGTGTTGAGGGCATCCCCGAAGAGCGGGAGATTTTGTTACAGTCCGGATTGGCTGTCTTGCGTTTCTAATAAGTTGTTTTATAGTTGGCATGGTGAATCATATACATAATGAGCTGGTTTCGATCAATCCTAACCCAATAATTTCCATTTAGAATTTATTCGACTCTATGAAATCTGGTTGTTAAGACGATTAAAAAGAGAAAAGACAACATCTCATGCATGTATTTATTAGGAATAAATCTGTGTTTATTAGGGACAAAGGTTTAGGAATAAATCCACTATTCCCAGAAGAAAAAAAATAGTGGGGACAGAAATAGTTTGAAAGAAAATTATGTGTTTAGTAGGAATAAAAAGGACAGAAATAGTCCAAACATCAATATTGATTCCAACTATCAATATTGACATATGCAAATTTTGCATTTAAAAAAAAGAATCTGCTCCGGAATCAAAAATTGCTTCCGTAGGCAAAGAATCTGATACGGAATCAATAATTCCGTAGGCTTGGGCTTCTTCGGGTGACATAAAATGATCCCTTTCCAGGTCTTTAGATATCTGCCATACCGGTTTGCGTGTTCTTTGCGAATAAATAGCTGTTATTGTTTCTCGAAGTATCACCATTTCATCTGCTTCCAGCATACATTCTCCTGATGGTCCCTCATAAGGGGCACTATGAGGTTGATGGATCATTACCCTGATAGTATAATATATTTTGGTTTTTTCTCTCAATCTTGACTTAAAAAAATAAGAAAGAAGGGATATTCAAAAGAACTTCAATTTAAATTGAAAGCCGTACAGGCAAGCATCTTTTGGATTTTTTATATAGCATACGGCTCTATACTTTTAATTTTTCATTTTTTTTACCTTTCATTGAAGAAATAAAAATATATATATATATATATATATATATATATATATATATATATATATATATATATATATATATATACCGGGTCTATCAGACCCAGATCAGTAAAGAATCCAATAACCATCTTTTTTTTTTTTTTTTAGAATATTTTAAAAAATTTAAAGACTATGATGATTCCGTTGCTCTCTTAATTTCGTGTAGTTTTTGATTCAGCAATCCCAAAGTTTCTTTTTTTTTTTCAAATGAAGTAAAAAAAAAATCGTGACACTAAAAGAGGCTCTAATTAATAGATAAGAGGAAATATAAAATTGTAAATACCCCTTCCCCTTTTTCCTACTACTCTTTCGATATAGAATCGAATGATTTAAAAAAAAATTATTTTTGCATATCGAACTCAGAGTGCCATGCTTTTTTTACTTCATATTGGCGTAGGCATAGTCTTCTTCTACAAATAAGAATCATTGGCGCCAAGCGTGAGGAAATGCTAGACGTTTGGTAATTCCGCCTCCTGCCAAAATAAGAGATGCCATTGAAGCGGCTAATCCCATGCATATTGTATGTACTTGTGCTTCTACAACTTGCATAGTATCAAAAATGGCCATTCCAGACATAACCTCTCCGCCGGGAGAATTTATAAACAGATACAAATCTTTGTTCTTGTTCTCTAAACTGAGATATATCATCATACCAGCAACTTGATTTGCTAGTTCACTCTCAATCTCGTCACCTAAAAAAAGAAGTCTGCTGTAAAAAAGTTGATGGTATAAGTCAACCCAAGTAGCTTCATCCTCGCCAGGAATTTGAAAGGCTACCTTTGGAACACCCACTGGCATAAAAAAATGATGCAGTTGCCTGACATCAGCATATTACTTTAATATAAAATTGTGCAGAGTACAGAATGAGTTTATTTTGTTAAAAATAATTTTTATTTCGCCAGATAACATAAAAAAAAAAACAAGCCTAAAATAAGGGCAAGTTTTTATGAATAGGTCATTCTTGGATATGTGTCTACTGATATTGATATTATTGTTACGTGTTACTGGACGACTAATGAATTGAATTCTGGAAAATGAAATTCAAGAAGGGATTCTAACAAAAAGGATCTTCGACAACCCCCAAAAAGTATATTTCTATGTTTCCTATCGAATTGAATTCTAGAAATATTATTATTTCCTTCATGAATTATATTATTAGAAATCAATTCATGCTATTCACCACATTTTCATTGATCCTCCATTTATAGTCCGAAGCTAAGAAAGAATCAATGTAAAGAACCCCTATCTTATATTATAGTCTTAAACTTTGAGGAATTTTCGATTCAGTACATCGAAACAACCAGAAAAAAAGAAATTTTATTTGGTAGTAGTTGATCTTGTCACTGATTGTGAAATTTCGTTGCTGTGTTCGAAGAAGGATAGCTATACTGATTGCGTCGATTCAAAAGAGACCCTTGGTACTCCATTGCCGATCGTAACCAAAAATAAAATTTCAGTCAATTTATACTTACTGATCTGATCTTTTATGGAATCGATCCCCCTTTGACTGTATAAGAATATGTGGAGCTCGGCATGTCTGGAAGCACAGGAGAACGTTCTTTTGCTGATATTATTACCAGTATTCGATACTGGATTATTCATAGCATTACTATACCCTCCCTATTCATTGCGGGTTGGTTATTTGTCAGCACGGGTTTAACTTACGATGTATTTGGAAGCCCCCGTCCAAACGAGTATTTTACAGAAACCCGACAAGGAATTCCTTTAATAACTGGCCGTTTTGATTCTTTGGAACAACTCGATGAATTTAGTAGATCTTTTTAGGAGGCTCCAATGACCATAGATAGGACCTATCCCATTTTTACAGTACGATGGTTGGCTGTTCACGGACTAGCGGTACCCACCGTTTCTTTTTTGGGATCAATATCAGCAATGCAGTTCATCCAACGATAAACCTAATCCGAATTATAGAGCTATGACACAATCAAACCCAAATGAACAAAATGTTGAATTGAATCGTACCAGTCTCTACTGGGGTTTATTACTCATTTTTGTACTTGCTGTTTTATTTTCAAATTATTTCTTCAATTAATAGAAATTAAGATAATAGTATATATATTAGGAATTCTCTTATCCTATTCGGAAGGATCTCATTTCATAATTATCTATGACTGTTTAGGTCTCTAGTATGACTTACTACTTGATCAAATGTGGAGGAAAGTGGGATAAATAAATGGCCAATACTACTGGAAGAATTCCTCTTTGGATAATAGGTACTGTAGCTGGTATTGTTGTGATCGGTTTAATTGGTATTTTCTTTTATGGTTCATATTCCGGATTGGGATCATCCCTGTAATAATCGGATGAATTTCGTTTTCGAAATGAAAGCATAAGAACTCAACAGGGATCCACTCTTTCTTTGATGAATTCGAGGGGGTCCCGTTGAGTTATTCATAATCAGAATATTTTGGTAATTGAGTCAATAGATAACTTTATTCTATGTTTCCAAAAATTCCATTTCCTTTTTTTAGGATCTTAATGAAAAAGGAACTTCATTAATTGGTTCAAAACATTTTTTCTGGATAATATCTGTCGAAACTTTTTCTTTCAACTAGAAAGAAAAATAAAAGAAAGAAGCAATTAGTTGATTTACTTCTTCTGGGTGGCCCAATAATATATAATAATTATGGTGTGTAAGAATTGGGAATTCTAGAATCTATTTTCTAGCGGTCAAATATTCTGTAGAACCAAACCTTTTTGATACTAATGATACTAACGGAATCTTACTAGAAGTCTTTTTTTTGACATTAAATGAAATTCATAGTAAAAAAAATATTAATATCAAATTAGAACTATTAAAAAAAAAAATAAATCGAAATATTCAATTTCATTAAGCTAACAAATATGGAAAAAATGCAGAAGCGTTCATATATTGGACATAAGTTTGTATAGAAGGTTTTTCTTCTATCGCTTCGCCAACGAAACGAAAAATGGAATTCTATTCCCCGTCCTACCTATCCAATCTAATTCAAGACCCAATCAGTAGACAGACACTACAGCAGTAGTAGAGTGAAAAGACTTTGACTTCAAGATTGATCTATTCCTTTTTATTTCACTACTCGAATTCATTTTTCATGGAATCCGAGACGCAAAGATTGAAAGCATTTTAATGCGTAGAATTTTGAATCAAACAAGTCTCAAGACAAGAACGCTTTCCCTTGCTTCCACATGGAAAAAAGACAAAGTTTTTGTATGAACAAAACGGAATACATTATCTTGTCGATCAGGCGACACCCGGATTTGAACTGGGGAAAAAGGATTTGCAGTCCCCTGCCTTACCACTCGGCCATGCCGCCAAAAAACCTGATAA